GGGGGGGGTCGGGGGGGCACCCTGGGCCACTGGGCCCTGGCTCTTGCCTCTGCAAGCCACAGAGGGTTTTTTGCAGCAGCCGGCAGCCCGCGGCAGCTGGTGAGGATTTTTGGTGGTGAGCACGGTTCCGGAGCGCACTGCAACTAGTTGTGGGAGGCTTGCTTCGAGTCTGGAGGGGAGTCCGCGCATGACGCGCTGGGCCCTTCCTCCTGGCAGCTGGTGCTGGGTCGTCCAGAGTCTCTCTGTTGCTGAGCAGGTGGTCTGCAGATTGGAGTGGGCGGAGAGCCCCCCCCCGCTATTTTTCTTTTTCCTTTTTTTTCCCCTTTTTCTCTTTTTTCTTTCTTTCTTTTTTTCTTTTTCTTTTTTCTTTCTAGATGATCTGGTGCATTGAGGTGGTCAGGGTGACAGCCAGAGTGAAGAAGCAGAGAAACATGTCCCAAGTGGAAGATCAGAAGAAACCTCAAGAAATGGAGCTGGATGAGGCGGAGGTGTCCATCCTTTTAGAGACAGAGTTTGGAACACTGATGATAAGAATGTTTCGGGAACTTAAGGAGGATGTAGGGAAGGATGCAGAGGTCGTGGGAAACAGCCAGGTAGAACTAAAGAATACAATGACTGAAATGAGGAGCACACTCGAGGGAATCACCAGTGGATTGGATGAAGCAGAGGATCAGATCAGAGATTTGGAAGACAGGGTGGCAGGGATCACCCAGTTGGAACAACAAAAAGAGAAAAGAATAAAAAACAATGAAAATAGTTTGAGAGACCTGTGGGACAACATCAGGCGCAACAACATTCGCATCGTGGGAATGCCAGGGGGAGAAGAGAGGAAGCAAGGGATCGAGAATGTATTTGAAGAAATAATGACCGAGAGCTTCCCTGCCCTGGTGAAGGAAATCGACATGCAGGTCCAGGAAGTGCGGGGAGTTCCAGATGGGCCGAGCCCAGGCAGGTCCACACCAACACACATCATAGTAAAAATGGCAGGGGTTGAGGACAGGGACAGGATCCTGAAGGCAGCGGGGGAGGGACAATGTTGCCTTATAGCTACCTCCACGACCGTCCCCCCCCCGCACTAACCCCTGACCTAACGAGGTCCTGAGGAAGTGTCTCGGAATGCTGAGACCCGATGGAATGATATAGGTAAAGCTTTCTCTAAGGAGTGTCTCGGAAAGCTGAGGCCCATGGAATGATATCGGTAATCTCCCTTTATTTGTATAGTACATGGCAGACTGGCGCTGTCCAGGGGGTTGTGCAGGCTGTGTGAAGGCATAGTACATGTTGGAGCACAATGGAAGCTGGTTAATGGAAAACAGCCTTAAGGCACGTAACACACGGATCTTTGAGTAAATTAGTTTCACTTCCTTTGAAATTTTCTCAATAAAAGCCATGTGATGACCCGATTTGGGGCTCAGCCCAGTCCTCTAGGCTGATGCCCCTTGGTCTCATTCTTATCTGACTTTTGTCTCTTGTGCTCGTTTCAATCTGCATCGCCCCTCTCGTGTCCCATTTGCCCTTGCCATGCAGGACATGACATCTGGCGCTCAACTGTGGAGCTCAAAGAAGGGAAGGTAGACTACGAGTCTTCACCGTGGATTTCATGGCGCAGACCCCAGGACGGGCTGGCACTCTACTTGGTAAGAAGTAGGGAAAAGTCCTGAGGAATTTTACCGGGGCAACCAGGGAAAATCACCTAACAAACTTTGTGTGAAAGAGTGTGAATGTGTGAGTGATTGATCATAGTTTCAAGACTATTAATAGTGAGAAGCTTGAGTGGGCTCTACTCTGCGGTTCCGTAAGGCATAACGGTGACTGACTTGCTCACCAGTTTGGGGATTTATACCAAAGTGCCTTAGCCAAGACAGACTTAGTCCCACGAGGAACGCGGCCAGACAAGCATCTGAGTGAATAATTGAATAAAAGTTCTATCTTTTTCCTTATCCACTAACATGGGAAATGCTGAGAGTCGTTACAGACCTTATATTTGTCTCCTCAAGTAACTTCTTAAGAAAGGAGGGATAAAAGTCTCAGAAAAGAAATTAGAGGAACTTTTAAAAGTTATTGAGACCCATTGTACTTGGTTTCCAGACTTAGGGACTGTAGATTTAGATCAGTGGGATGAGGTAGGTAAAGATCTTAGTGAAAAACAACGTCAGGGAGATAAGTTACCAACTACAATTTGGGAAACTTGGAGACAGGTCCGGTCAGTTTTAGAACCTTTACACACTGACACGGAAGATGAGGAGGATGATAAAAATCAGGATTACAAAATTCTTATTGAATTGTCAGAGGATGAAGATAAAGAAGAGGGTTCTTTAGAAGCTCCTACAATAATTCCTAAGACATTATACCCTTCTTTGGAGGATGGTTTACAGCAATCTAGCCATTTGCCCCCACCACCAGTAACTAGAATGAAAGACTGGGGGTTAAATAAAAAACCACAAAAACTTAAACATTCAGCTTCTCCCGTTATGCGAGCGCCTCCTCCTTATGCTCAAGGTCCACATTCGTCACTGTCAGCTATAGAAAGAAGAATACGTCAGGCTAGAATAGAAGGAGATTTGGACGCTTTGAACTGTCCAGAATAATTCGAGAGCGTATCGCACCCAATGAAGAATATCCAAATGGTATTATAATGCAGATTATAATGTCTTCAACAGTTCCTTGGTCTGCTAAGAAAGGAGAGCAGATTGGACAGCTACTTCTGCTCCCATATATCCTCCCAAGAAAAAAGGGAACACAAAAAAGAGGAACTGGAAGTTTTGGAAGTACAGGACAGGCAGGTATTTTTCTAACAGAGAAAATCTCCAAAATTCGTCCTGTGTGTCAAATAAAAATTCAAGGAAAGAAATTTAATGGTCTTTTAGACACTGGAGCTGATGGTTCTATTATCAGTTCTCAAGACTGGCCAAAAAATTGGGAAGTACAAGAACCTGACATTAATATTATTAGAGTAGGAAGGGACTCAGGTTTATGCCAGAGTGTTTGCATTTTTCCTTGCACAGGACCAGAGGGTCAACAGGGATTTTTACAACCTTATGTTGCTGACATTCCCATCAATTTGTGGGATAGAGATTTACTAACCCAATGGGAAGCAGAAATTTGGATTCCTCCTAAACTATATAGTCCTCAGAGTCAAAAGATAATGAGTCAGATGGGATTTCAACCTGGAAAAGGGCTAGGAAAATTCAATCAGGGAATTACTCAGCCTATCCAACCCTCACCTCAACAGGGAAGAGAAGGGCTAGGCTATCAGACCAACCATAATAACCCTTTTTTATAGGGGCCACTGTTGAAGAGCTAGAAACTCCTGTGCCTCTCAAATGGAAAAATAACACCCCTATATGGATTGAACAGTGGCCCCTTCCTCAAGAAAAATTAGAGGCTTTAATGAAATTAGTACAGATTCAATTAGAGCAAGGTCATATAGAGCCTTCTACTAGTCCTTGGAATTCTCCAGTATTTGTCATAAAAAAGAAATCAGGAAAATGGCGAATGTTAACTGACTTTCGTGCTGTTAATGCAATCATTGAACCTATGGGTGCCCTGCAGCTAGGGCTTCCCCAACCCTCTGTGATTCCAAAAGATTGGCCTCTCATAGTTATTGACCTGCAGTATTGTTTTTATACAATTCCTTTACACCCTCAAGATTGTCCACGATTTTCATTTTCTATTTCTTCAATTAACAATAAAGAACCAATTCAAAGGTATCAGTGGAAGGTACTTCCACAAGGAATGCTTAACAGTCCGACCATTTGTCAGCTTTATGTAGCTTGAGCTCTTACTCCAGTAAGAACCAAGTTTTCTAATTGTTATATCACTCACTATATGGATGATATCCTTTGTGCTGCATCCTCTATGGAACAGCTAGCAGCATGCTTTGAATTGCTTAAAGATCAGCTTGATTCAGCAGGACTTTGCATTGCTCCAGACAAAATTCAAACAACCACGCCAGTAAAATACCTAGGAGCGGTGGTTGATAGACTATTAGACCTCAAAAGATTCAAATTAGAAGAGATCAGATTTCTACCTTGAATGATTTACAAAAATTACTGGGAGACATCAATTGGCTATGACCCACTTTGGGCATTCCTACTTATGCTCTTAGTAATTTGTTTACTCTTTTTCGAGGACCGTCACAACTTAATAGCCCTCATAAACTGACTTCCCAAGCAATTAAGGAATTAGAGTTAGTTAAACAAAAAATACAGTAAGCTCAAATACAATGTGTGGATCCTTCTCAACCTTTGCAGGTTTTACTTTTTTCCACGCCACATGTTAACTGTCACCTACACATGTCACCTACAGCAGTTATAGTACAACAAAATAATTTGGTTGAGTGGCTTTTTCTACCTAATAATTTTGTTAAGTCTCTTCCAACTTACGTGGAACTAGTCTCTGAATTAATATCAATTACCAGAGTTGTACATCTCTGTGGACAAGAATCTAATCAGATAGTGGTTCCTTTTAAAAAACAACAAATTTCTCATCTCAACATTCATAATGAATCTTGGCAGGTCGCCATTGGTGATTTTTGTGGAATTATTGATAACCATTATCCTAAAAATAAATTGTTTCAGTTTTTACAAAAAACTAATTGGATTTTACCTAAAAAGCTCTGACAGGAGCCCATCCCTCAGGGAGTTACAGTTTTTACTGATGGATCTAGCAGTGGGAAGGCAGCAATTGTTAGTGAAAAAGGACGCCAACTGGTAAAAACTAATTGCACTTCAGCACAAAGAGCTGAACTTGTGGCTGTTTTAACTGCATTGCAAGATTATTCTGATCCTTTAAATATTGTTTCTGATTCGGCTTATGTTGTTCACACAGTAAAAAACATTGAGATGGCATCCTTAACATATAATTCAAATCCGTCTCTCTTCAATTTTATTTAATCAACTCCAGCAAGTTGTGAGAAACCGTCAAAATCCATTTTTTATTACTCACATGCGCGCTCATATGGCTCTCCCAGGTCCAATGACACATGGAAATGCTATTGCAGATTCCCTAGTAGGGAGCGCTCAGGTTGCTGAAGCAACCCACTTTCACTCTTTGACCCATACCAATGCTGGCGGTCTCTGTTCTCGATTTCCAATTACTTACAAACAGGCCAGACATATAGTTCAAACCTGTCCAGCTTGTCAAATTCTTAATGCTCCACAGGAATGTCCTGAAGGAGTAAACCCTAGAGGTCTTAACCCTAATGATATCTGGCAAATGGATATGACTCATGTCCCTTCCTTTGGAAAATTATAATTTGTACATGTTACAATTGATACTGCTTCTGGCTTTCTTGTAGCAACCTCCCAGACTGGTGAGACCTCGGCTCATTCTTGTCGTCATTTATTAACTTGTTTTTCTATCATGGGCCTTCCAAAAACTATTAAAACAGACAATGGGCCTGCTTACATCAGTTCTAAGTTTGCAAATTTCTGTGCTACTTGGCGAATTACCCATAATACAGGAATTCCTTACAATCCACAGGGCCAAGCCATTGTAGAACGTGCTAATTCCACCTTGAAAAAACAATTACAAAAACAGAAAGGGGGAGACATGAAAGAAACTCCTCAGGTGCAATTAGCAAAAGCCATGTTTACTTTAAATTTTTTGAATTCATCTGGTTCAAGTACAGAACCACACCTTGGGCGAACTGCAGCAGAAAGACATTTTACTAACAGCCCAAGAAAATTAGAAAATGTTCCCATATGGTGGAAAGATAGTCAAACCAATCAATGGAATTTAGGGACTCTGTTGACATGGGGACGAGGTTTTGCTTGTATTTCTCCAGGTGCTGAAGAACGTCCTTTGTGGGTACCCAGCCAGTGTGTTAAACCTTATCATGAGCGACACGCCCAAGAAAAGAAAGTCAATATGGCTGAAGATTGCAAGATATGATTGGCCTCCTAATTGGCCTGTAGTGGAGGATACTCGACCTTCGGCACCTCTGATAATTGAAATGTCTAATCTCTCATTTCAATCAGCCCACACAAAGCCAACAGCTCCTTTAGCTTTTTGTGCAGTTACTCCACGAGCAAGAAGCGTTCCCCTACCTACTTGGGATCAATTAAAAAAGCTGGCTCAAGTGGCTGAACATCGGCTGTCAGAAGAAAAAATTCCAAAAACAGAAGCCAACATGCTGTTGTCTATGATGGCCGTTCTTGCTATCGTAAGTTGTTTTCCAATCGGTGTTGCCACCGAAAATTTTACGTATTGGGCTTACATACCCAATCCTCCTTTGCTAACTCCTGTAACTTGGAATGAAGATCCTCCTTTAATTTATCTTAATGATAGCTCCTGGTTCCCTGGACCTGAAGATCCTAGAGGGCTGGAGTTTATAGAGGAGGAAGGGCAAAATTTTACTTTATCTGACCATTCTTCTTTAGGTTATTTGCATACTCCTATTTGCATTGGCACTGTTCCTCCGTGTCTCTCTCTTTTGGATCAAGCCTGGGCTATTCCCAGTGGGAAGGAAAATGACACTTTTAAAGAATTGTTTATGATAACTGGAAAAGGATTTGTTACTCAACAAATTAGCACCCATAGCTTCCCTCCTCCAATTCCTACTTGTCCTTTAATTAGTCACTGGGACAAAAATCAATCTCGAATTCATTGGGAGGAATGTCGTGGAAGTATGGCTAGAGTAATAATTAACAATACTTATGAAACTATAGTAGATTGGGGTCCCTTTGGGACTGCCATTCATGTCTGTTCCCATAAAAAATGTTCAGAACCTCAACAATTAAAGGAACAGATAGCTGGATATGGTTTTCCTAGAAACATTAAGTCTCCATTTAACATTTCTATTTTTTGGAAGGATAGGGCTCTAGCCCCACCACAACTAAGGATGATTAGACCCATTCGGGGTCCTCTTCAAAGGACTTTATGGAAAATAGCTTTAAGTATTGGACCTAATAAAATATGGAAAGGAAATCTTACTAAAAATACCAATAAAAATTTCACTTTCCAATTTGAAAAAACAAAAAATATATATCTACAAGTTTGCCTTAAAAATCCTTTTGTTTTCCTAACAGGAAAGTTTACTATTAATCAAACTGCAAAATTGGTTGAATGCCCTCAATGTCGTTTATATACTTGTCTTAATTCCTCTATTTTTGAGACTTCCTACGACCAAATTATGATACTCAGGTGAAGACGTGGACTATGGCTTCCCGTTCAAGCCTTTAGGGTATGGGAAGTTTCCCCAACTGTTCATATTATTTTACAAATTCTTCACAAGATCTTACATAGAACTAAAAGGTTTATTGGCCTTTTGATAGCAGCAATAATGGGTATAATAGCTATAACTACTGTTGCTGCTGTCTCTGGAGTGGCTCTTCACCAGACGGTGCAGACTACTCAATTTGTACAACAATGGCATGAAAATGCAAGTAAAACTTGGAATCAACAATTGAGAATTGATCAAGAAATCAGCATATGTTTAGCAGATTTGGAAACAACTGTTGTTTCTCTTGGAGATCAATTGGAAAGTCTCCGAACTATGATTACTTTAAAATGTGATTGGAATATTTCCACTTATTGTGTAGCTCCTTTTTCTTTCAACCAGACACGTACCCCATGGTCTGAGGTACGAGCTCATTTTTTGGGACATGTGCCCAACCTGACTGTAGATATTCTGCAGTTGCAACAAGAAGTAAATCAGATGTCATCTGCTAATCTCCAGTTCCTCCCAGGAGAGGATGCCTTTTCCACGGCTGTGGAAGGATTGTCTACTCTAAACGTTGGTGGAGGTTTTGCTGGTGCTTTTGCACTCCTATTAATCATTCTATTTCTGTTTTGTCTAGTCCTCCGATGTGGACAACAAGCCCTCCGATGGGCCATAGATGAAGAAACTGCAAAGTCCTTGTTTCTCCTTTTACAAAAACAGAAAGGGGGAGATGTTGCCTTACAGCTACCTCCACGACCGCCCTCCCCGCACTAACCCCTGACCTAATGAGGTCCTGAGGAAGTGTCTCGGAATGCTGAGACCCGATGGAATGATATCGGTAAAGCTTCCTCTAAGGAGTGTCTCGGAAAGCTGAGGCCTGATGGAATGATATCAATAATCTCCCTTTATTTGTATAGTACATGGCAGAATGGCACTGTCCAGGGGGTTGTGTAGGATGTGTGAAGGCATAGTACATGTTGGAGCACAATGGAAGCTGGTTAATGGAAAACAGCCTTAAAGCACATAGCACACGGATCTTTGAGTAAATTAGTTTCACTTCCTTTGAAATTTTCTCAATAAAAGCCGTACGAAGACCCGATTCGGGGCTCAGCCCAGTCCTCTAGGCTGATGCCCCTTGGTCTCGTTCTTATCTGACTTTTGTCTCTTGTGCTCTTTTCAATCTGCATCGCCCCTCTCGTGTCCCATTTGCCCTTGCCACGCAGGACGTGACAGGACAGCGAGTTGCATGCAAAGGAACTCCTATAAGACTGACAGCTGACTTTTCTGCACGGGCTCTGCAGGCCAGAGGGGAGTGGCAGGAAATATTCAAAGTGATGCAAAGTGAAGGCCTATGGCCAGGATTGCTCTGCCCAGCACGGCTATCACTTGAAGTTGAGGGAGAGATAAAGAGCTTCTCAGAGAAGGGTAGACTTGGGGAATTCGTTGCCACCAGGCCACCATTGCGGGAAATGCTAGGAGGGCTTTTTTAGGCAGAGAGAGGGGGAGGGCAGACTAGCCCAGGAGGACCAGAAATACAGATAACAAAGTGGTAATAAATATGCACCTATCGGTGGTCACTTCAGATGTGGATGGATTAGATGCTCTGGTCGGGAGATGTAGGGTGGCTGGATGGATGGGAGGGCAGGACCCACGCATATGCTGTTTACAAGAGACTCATCTTGGATCAAGGGACACACACAGACTGAGGGTAAAGGGATGGAGTAGGATGTTTCACACAACTGGAGGTGGGAGAGAGGCGGGAGTAGCAATACTTATTTCAGACAAAATAGACTTTAGGGTGAGGACTGCAATAGAGGACAGAGAAGGACACTACATAATGATAAGAGGATCAGTTCAACGGGAGGACATGACCTTAGTGAACGTCTGTGCTCTCAACGTGGGAGCTCCTAAATGTATAGAACAGATTTTGACGGACATAGAGACAGGGATCAGCAGCAACACTGTCGTGGTGGAGGACTTCGGCACTCCGTTGTCACAGGTGGATGGACCCTCCAGACGGAGGATCAGCACGGAAACAGTGACCTTGGATGACACTTTAAACCAGCTGGATTTGATTGATGTCTTTAGAGCATTTCACCCCAAAGCGGCAGAGTGTACGTTCTTCTTGAGTGCACATGGAACATTTTCCAGGATAGACCACATGTTGGGACACAGAACCAGTCTCAATAGATTTGAGAAGATTGAAATCGTGTCGGGCATCTTCTCTGATCACAATGCTATGGAACTGGAGATCAATTTTGAAGAGAAGCCTGGAAAGTGAACGGGTGCATGGAGGCTGAATGACATGCTACTGAATAGCGACTAGGTCAAAACTGAGATTAAGGGTGGAAATCAGGAGCTATCTCAGGGCAGATGGCAGTGGAAACAAAGCAACTCAGGATCTGTGGGATGCGGCAAAAGCAGTCCTGGGAGGAGGATTCATAGCATTGCAGGCCTGTCTGGAGAGACAGGAACAGTCTCATATCAACAGACTGTCTTTGCACCTGGGGGAGCTGGAGAGAGAGCAGTGGGACAGGCCCAGGGGGAGTAGGGGGAAGGAGATGATAAAGACCAGAGCGGAGATAGGTGAGGTGGAGTCCAGGGGAACAGTGCAGGGAGTCGAAGAAACCAAGAGCTGGTTTTTAGAAAGGATGAACAGGATTGGCAGGCCCTTAGCCAGACTCACCAGGAGGAGGAGAGAGATGCCCCAAATTAGTGAAATCGGAGGTGAGGGAGGGGAGGTGACAGTGGATGCCACAGAAGTACAGGAAATTGTAAGAGAGCACTATGAGCAACTATATGCCAGTGAGTTTGATGGTCTGGAAGAGGTGGATAAATTTCTAGAAGCTTGCAATCTACCAAGTCTGAACCAAGAAGAAACAGAAACTCTGAACAGACTGATTACTACCAAAGAAATTGAATCAGTAATCAACAAGCTTCCAACAAACAAAAGTCCTGGACCAAATGGCTTCACAGGCGAATTTTATAAAACATTCAAAAAAGAATTAATACCTATTCTCCTCGGGCTGTCCCAAGGAATACAGAAGGAGGGAAGGCTCCCAAGCACATTTTGTGGGGCCTCTATTACTCTGATCCCAAAGTTGGACGGGGATATTGCAGGGGGAGAGAACTACAGGCCGGTGTCCCTGGTGAACGTGGATGCAGAGGTCCTTAGCAATGTACTGGCAAACCGAATTCAGTGTCACATTAAGGTGATCATGCACCACGATCGGGTGGGATTCGTTCCTGGTGTGCAAGGTTGGTTCAATATCTGCAAATCAATTAACGTAATACATCACATCAACAAAATGAAAAATAAAAATCATATGATCATATCAATAGATGCAGAAAAAGCATTTGACAAAATCCAGCAACCATTTATGATAAAAACTCTTGGCAAAGTGAAAATGTTGGGATCATATCTCAACATAATGGAGGCCATGTATGATAAGCTCACAGCAAACATCGTGCTCAATGGGGAAAGGCTAAAAGCATTCCCCTTAAGGTCATGGGAGGGGCAGGTCTGCCCACTTTCGCCACTTCTGTTCAGCATGGTTCTGGAGGTTCTGGCTACAGCAATCAGATGGGAAGGTAAAATGGAGGGCGTCCAAATTGGAGAGGAGGAAGTAAAGTTGTCATTGTATTCAGATGACATGATACTGTGTGTGGAGAGTCCTAAAGATTCCACCGGGAAACTGTTGGAACTGATGAATGAGTTTAGTGGGGTAGCAGGATGCAAAATTGACATTCAGGGGTTGGTTGCATTTGTATACACCAATGGTGAACTGTCAGAGGACGAGGTCAGGAAATCAATCCCATTTACAATTGCTTCAAAAACAATAAAATACCTAGGAATATATTTAACCAAAGAAGTAAAAGACTTGTACTCAGAAAATTATAAGACATTGAAGAGAGAAATCAAAGAAGATACAAATAAATGGAAATACATACTGTGTTCATGAATAGGAAGAATTAATATAGTTAAAAATGTCAATACTACCTAAGGCAATATATAGATTCAATGCAATTCCTATCAAACTACCAAGAACATTTTTCTCAGAAATAGAACATATAATCCGAAAATTTATATGGAGCCATGGGAGACCCCGAGTGGCCACAGCAGTCTTGAAAGGTGGGAACAGGGTGGGGAGTGTCATGCTGCCCAATGTCGGGTCATGCTGTGGGGCTACAGTGATCAAGGCAGTGTGGTGCTGGCATGAAGGCAGACACGTGGATCGATGGAGCAGAGTGGAGAACCCAGGGGTGAACCCATCCATGTGCAGTCGTTTGATCTGTGACATTGGAGGTGGGGGTTTGCATTGGAGTGAAGGTGGTCTATTTGATAAATGGTTCTCGGAGAATTGGACTGACGCGTGCAAAGGGATGAAAGTGGACCACCTGCTTGCACCATGTACATGAGCAGATTTGGAATGGATTAAAGACTTAAATGTAAGACCTGAAACCATAAAACTCCTAGAAGAAAAAATAGGGAGTAAATTTGGAGACATTACCCTCAGTAATATTTTTACTGATATATCCCCTCGGGCAAGGGAAATAAAAGAACAAATTAACATATGGGATTACATCAAACTTAAAAGTTTTTTCACAGCAAAGGAAATCATCAATAAAACAAAAAGGCAGCCTACTGAATGGGAGAAGATACTTGCCAATGATATATCTGATAAGGGGTTAATATCCAAAATTTATAGAACACTCATTCAACTCAACACCAGGGAAATAGACAACCCAATTGAAGGATGGGCAGAGGATATGGGGAGGCATTTCTCTGGGGGGCGGGGACGTACAGACGGCCAACAGGTGTGTGAGGGGGTGTTTGGCCTCGCTAATCATTAAGGAGATGTGGGTAGGGGCCACGGTGGGATGCCACTTCACTCCGGTCAGAGTGGCTGTCATCGGTGAATCAGCGGGCAGCGGGTGCTTGTGGGGCTGTGGAGAAGGGGGAACCCTGGTGCACTGTTGGTGGGACTGAAGATTGGTGCAGCCATTATGGAAGTCAGTATGGAGATACCTCAAAAAACTGGAGGTGGAGCTGCCGTATGACCCAGCGATTCCACTCTTGGGTATCTGTCCAGAGAAACCCAAGACGCTAATTCGAAAAAATATGTGTGCCCCTGTGTTTATTGCAGCGCGATTCATGGTGGCCGGGACTTGGAGGCAACCGAGGTGCCCATCGGTAGACGACTGGATTAAGAGACTGTGGCACATTTACACAATGGAGTGTTGCTCTGCTATGGAGAAGAGTGAAGTCGTACCATTTGGGACGATATGGATGGACTTAGAGACTATTGTGTTAAGTGAAGTAAGTCAGTCGGAGAAAGACAAATACCATATGATTTCACTTACATGTGGAGTCTAGGAAACTGAATGAATGAGGAAAGTGGACAGGGGTGGTCTCAGAGATATAGAGGAGCAACTGATGGCTGTTGGTTGGGAGGGGTGGGGATGGGGGAGAGGGGGAGGGGGTTGGACAGCATAAATACGTAACTGCAGTTTTGCCGTGGGGACATGGAGGACAGTCCGAGGAATGTGATTAATAATGTTGTAAATATTTTGTAGGGTGTTAGGTGGTCACATGTCTTGCTGGGGAGACTGCATCATGGATGGGGAAGAGGCTTGGTTGCTGCACTGTGCACCTGAAGCTGATGTTGTGTAGTACTGTATGTCAACTATAAGTGAATATATATATATATATATATATATATATATATATATATA